GACGCCTATCTCTGGTCGCATGCGGCATCTCAAGTGGATTTCCAGTACATTTTGGCCATAACGCCGAATTTCCGTGACGTTTTGCTTATCCGTCTGCCCAGCTCCATGACTACCAGGCCCCCAAAGTTGTACTGGTTTATTCGAAATAAATATCACTCAATGACAACGTCTTCGCTTTATTGTCGAAAACTCTCCCTTCCCACTTTCCTCATCGCGACCCCTTTTTCTCCGGTTAACGGTAGATCCTTGATCCTGGCGTCTCCTCTTTGCTGGTCTTGCTCTATTCTTGTTTTCCCCGAGTTTGCTTAGACAGTAGGCCCTGACAACATGACCAAGTTGCGACAACGAGGTCAACCCACTTCTATTAATCGAAAGGAGACTGCGACCATACCAGAGGCTACAACATCTCGGTCTTCATATCTTATTATATTATTAGTTTTCCTGACCAGTTATTTTTTGTGTTAATGTAAAGTGATTGATTTCAGAAAGTTTGGTACTTTTTGTAGATATGTAGGAAAACTGGAAAAAGTTAGGCTATAAAAAGTAGGTAGGATTGCAGCTTGCCTCCTATCTTGTCTTCGTGCTTTGTTGAATTATCATAAAGCATGGCGTCCTATTCTGACGATGTACGTCGAATGATGGACTAAAGCTCAGCAAGGATTCATCGGGGTCGCGTGACGGTGCGCCTAAGACTTATTTGCATACATCTGCCGCCACAGCTCCAAGTTATTCCCCGTTCGGTTTCCCTTTCAATCGCCTTTTCACACAAAATGAAAAGTACTCCAACATCAATCTATTAAGAGGTTCTTCACAAACCAGTTTTTTCACACACAAATATCATTTCACCAACTAGTCATTACCTCGATGAATCATCTCTTTATAGATGACTTTAAAAACTGCGATACGTTCGAAAAAGCACCAAATCTAATTCTTGGTAAAAAAGTTCTAAATCAATTACACCTTTAAAGAACCACCCCCTGTATTGCAACGGTCTTGTACCGTATGAAGACCTTAACACGATGTCAAAGATTGCGGTAAACGCCTTAGGTCCATTTGGCCGAGAAGGTTTCTCGCAGTAGCAATCCTGCAAAGATCTCATTGGCTTCACTAACAAGGTCTGAAGTCGCATATCGTTTCATCACTTTTCCCCTATTCACTATCCCGCTCTTACACTATTTACTCATAATATACATGATTTCTTTTTTATATGAGATGTATTCACCCAATTTCGTTTAAGGTGATGAAGGACTGGCAGAATAAGAATTTTCCCACAATGATATGAGTAGAGCTGACGTTTCCATTGAATTTCACATAACTTTGCTTTCCCAAAAGTTGTTCTCATCCAGGCAACAGTGGACTGCAGTTTCAACCTCGCATCGGTCTTATCAACACCCTTAGCGGGAGTCGAATCGCGACAGTGCAGGATGGGAGCTTGACACGCTAGCCACTCGGCTACACTGCAGTCCACCCTGGATGAGAACAAATCT